AAAATAAATAGCCCAAATTATCTTCAAATCCCTTAGTTCCCACTGAAATCATGGTAAATAATATTTCTAACAACTTGATATGCATTAGGAATGTAATTACCCCAACAGAAGAGAACTAACTTTGGATTTTTAAAAAGATCATCATTTAAAAAGTTTGTCTTTCTTTTGTTTTTCTCTGATGAACTCTGAGTTTCACGCTAGTAGTAAGATCCTGGCCTGTTTTCTTAGTTGTGTATTCAGAGCTTGGCTTGTCACACAGGGGCTCTATGAATGAATGATGTGTGGATAAAGTAGGAGAAAACAATCCATTATTTCTTAAAGTATTTTACTGCCAAAACTATTAATTGAGGGGCTGAAATATGAGCTAATATTTTAAGCATCCCTAAAATAATTCCATTAGCTATCCTGGTAGGTTGCATCAATGGACTGGTGTTAGTCGTGGGCAGCTTCAAATGCTCTTAGCTTTCTTTCTCTTTACAGTGATTTGTATGACCCCGATCAGGTATATAATACTGCCCTTGACACTGCATTTTAAAAAGCTTCTATCTCCTGTAACCAAGATGCACACAAATGAATCCTACTTTCATCAGATACAATTAACTAAATTCTCCTCAAAGTCCTTTAGAACTTGTTGCCTAAGAGGAACTGTTGAGTTCAGGTACAGGTTCAAGAGAGAACTCTTCAAGGTGATGCTTACAGGTGCTAAGCTGGTCATACAGATAGGAGCCAGTGAAAAAAATCTGACAGGGCGAAAAACCTCTGTCATGCAATGCAAATATTATATATTGTCTTACGAAAGTCCTGATTATCTGAGATGGCCAAATTTCTAAAAAGAAATAGCAGTCTACTAAGTAATCTCTGTGCCTTCAAAGATGGCAAGCATCTCCTATATCCAATGTACTATAGCTTCCTAGGTGTGAAGCTAATGAACTCACTGCAAATCAAAATACAACATTCTAGGAAGCTCAGTCTAGCAGGAAGTAGCTGGGAGAAAAAAATGGTACAATGAAAGCTACTCTCTAAAAAACGAGCTATTAAAATTTCTTCACAGTGTGTTAAAACCTAGGTTTTGTGTGCGTTGGAGTTAGTCAAACTGCAAAAATCCAAGGGTACAGTCCCCAAGATTGCTCTCACTTCTGACACATCAACACCAAGTTTGCAGGAGGCAGAGGGGGTCCAAACCACCCAAAATTCAATGGTTCAATAATTCACTGAAAGAACTCAGAACTCAATGTAAGCTGTTAAACTCAGTTATGGTTTACTATAGGGCAATGATACAGAAAATCAGCCAAAGGAAGAGATGCATAGGACTGCACTTGGGGTGGGGATGGGGTGGGGGGTGGGTTCCAAATGCAAAGCTTCCAATGTCCTTAGGACCTGCTGCTCTCCTGATAGCAATGTGTGACAGTGCCCATGGAGTCCAGTCAATCAGGAAAGCTCACCTGAGCAGCACTGTTCAGAGTTTTATTGGAGCCTCATTAAACAGCTTGACTGACTGATGATCCACATGATAAACTCACCCCCTCAGAGGCTGAGCTGATACCACATGGTCCAAGGGGCCCAGCAAGAATAGCAATTTCTTTTTTTTCTCTCTCTCTCTCTTTTCTTTTTTTTTTTTTTGAGACAGGGTCTCGCTGTGTTGCCCAGGCTGGAAGGCAGTGCTACCATCTTGGCTCACTATAACCTTTGCCTCCTAGGCTCAGGTGATCCTCCCACCTCAGCCTCCAGAGTAGCTGGGGACTACAGGCATGCACCACCACGCCTGGTTAATTTTTGTATTTTTTTTTGTAAAGACAGAGATTCACCATGTTGGACAGGCTGGTCTCGAACTCCTGGGCTCAAGCAATCTGCCCGCCTCGGCCTCCCTAAGTGCTGGGATTACAGGCATGAGCCACCATGCCTGGCTGAGAATAACAATTTCTATCACTTAGGAAATTCCAAGGATTTATAATTTCCCAGGAGCTTGGTACAAAATCCAGACCTCTCTTTGGCCAAGGCCAATTCCTTACTACACAGTTTGGCCAGATTATTAATGATTCTTGAATAATATTTAATAGGTAAGACAAAATGATGCTGTTGAGGTTCTGTTTAAAACAAAGCCTAACTTACAGGGCCCTGCTGACCTGCAGGAGGTCAGCCATCATGATGTCAATTTTGTGCTTCCCGTGGCCTCTCGCTCCCCAAGCCTAGCTCAGGCTAAATGACACAGCAGCTGGGCAGAACTTCAGGACAGATATTTTTCCATCTAAAACCAGAACTATCTTTTTCTATGAAATCCACTCTCCACTGATTTTCCAATCTGCTAACCTCATAATTCTGGTTCTTTTGCCCCTTCTATCTAAATGTTAGGGGATGAACTGTGTGCCCTGAAAATTCCTAAGTCCACTGCTCAGTATCTCAGAATGTGACTGTATTTGGGGTGAGGGGCTTTGAGGAGGTAATTAAATTGTAGTGAGGTCACAAGGGAGGGTTTTAGTCTAATATGACTGGATTCTCGTAGGAAAAGAAGATTAGCATGTAGACACAAGAGGAAAGATTGTGTCAAGACACAGGGAGCAAATGGTCACCTATAAGCCAAGGAGAGAGGCCTAGAAGCAACCAGCCCTGGCGTCACCTTGACCTCAGACTTTTAGCCTCCAGAACTGTGAGAAAATACATTTCTGTTATTTAGGCCACCCGGTCTGTGGTACTTTGCAGTTCTGGCAAACTAATACACCAACCAATCACTAATTCATGTCTAATCTTTTTTTTTTTTTTTTTTGAGATAGTCTTGCTCTGTTGCCCAGGCTAGAATGCAATGGCATGATCTTGGCCTACTGCAACCTCCACCTCCTGGGTTCAAGCAATTCTCCTGCCTCAGCCTCCCAAGTAGCTGGGATTACAGGCATGCACCACCATGCCCAGCTCATTTTTCTATTTTTAGTAGAGATGGAGTTCTGACACATTGCCTAGGCTGATCTTGAACTCTTGGCCTCAAGTGATCTGCCTGCCTTGGCCTCCCAAAGTGCTGAGATTACAGACGTAAGCCATCAGGCCTGGCGCCATGTCTAAACTTTCAACAACTTCTTTTTTCTCTTGCACTTGTAGAGACTTCCCATCTGATTTTTTTTTTCTTTTTCTTTTTTTAAGACATAGTCTCGCTCTGTGACTGGAGTGCAATGGCACAATCATAGCTCACTGCAGTCCTGGGTTCAAGCCATCCTCCACCTTAGCCTCTCCAATAGCTGCGACCACAAGTACATGCCCCCACAACTGGCTAATTTTTAAGTTTTTCTTTTGTAGATATAGGGTCTCACTATGTTGACCAGGCTGGTCACAATCCTTCTGCCTCAGCCTCCCAAAGTGCTGGGATTACAAGTGTGAGCCACCGCGCCTTATCTCATTCTTCGAGTTCTTATTTTTCATACCTCCAACTAAACCCCACATCCACTGTTAGGTTACTTTTCCTTTAGGAGCCCAGAAATCAGAGCACTCATCTGGTCAAACATCTTCCCATGACTCATTGCTCAATGAAGACCAAACTTCACAGCCCAGCAGCTAATGACCCACTGACCTTTCCAGCTTTATCTTGCGCAAGTCTCTCTGATTCAAGCCACTGCTTTGTCACCCACCAATTATAGAGCATAGTCTTCCTTCTGAATGTCTTTCCCGTCCACCTACTCAATACTCTTCTTAAAGGCTCAACTAAAAAATCATCTTCTTTATGAAAACTTCACAGATCACTCTAGTCAAAATTGATCCCTAACATATCCTAAATTTAGTTGTTTTTATAGCTATTGTCTTAGAATAAAGAAATACTCGGGGAGCCAACTCAAAGGTTCTCATGGTATAGAGACAAAAAAAAGTTTACTACTTTAAAAAAAAAAGTCACTATATCATTAGGGAGAAAAATAAACACCTAACTTAAAATAAGATATGTAGAGTAACTTAAAAAAACTATACGCAGTTCTATTAATATGTCTAAACTCTTAAGATCTCACGTTAATCTTTCATAGTGAGACTTGTGGCCCATCCTTAGAAGGTCTCTCTCTGCTGCCTCCAAAGAGATAATTCACTAAGGAAGGCTGAAGGGTTTTGGCTCTTTAAATAAACCTCAAACCATCTTCAATTTTAAAAAAATTTTATTTGAATCCACATTACAGTAACACTAATATCCATTACCATACAAATTGTACTGTAGCAGAAAGTAGTAATTCCACCTTAGGGTTTAATCATTTTATCAAATGCTTGTAAACATGTGCAAGGAAGGAGGTCAGAGCCCGATGCAATCTTTCAACTAAAGCTGTCACAACAACTTTTTTTGCTTCACTAATTTGCACATGTGCTACTAATAGGGGTTACACAATAGGACTATTTATATACTTAGAAAAATTCTGAATGATGTCTTCTTACCTAATGTTAGAACTGGCAGCAAAGGGAAAGTACAAGGCTATGGGTCACGGACACTTTGATCCATCAATTACAGAACATTCATTTAAACACTCCAAGGATTAAGAGAGGTAGCAATTTAACATCACCTTCATAATCAAGGGCCAGGTAAAGTCTATGATTTAAAGGCTTTCAAGGTACATGTGAAGAAATGAAAACAGCCTAACCATGAGAAAGGCAGATACCCAAATCGGGACATGCCCATCATTTTATTATACAAAAGTGAATGGTTTCTATGTTTCCCTTAGTAGAGTAGCAATTTAACATGACCTCCATAATCAAGGGCATTCTATTTTATATATTATTACAAATGAAAATTCTATTACCATTAATTTCGATTTCCCCCTAGTTCATAAAATACATTGATTTGCAGCAAGCTTTCATCAAATGTCTTTTTCTCGGCATCTGAATTCCAGTTTAGCAGATAACATGACCCCCTGTCAACCACCCCCAAACTCTTCCAAGTATTCTAGAGTGCTATATAACAAACTATGTCCTGTGTAAAAAGCACTAAAATTGTGCTTTCATCTTGTTAAGAACAGTAAATAATTACAATACCATTAAAAACTTACTTGAACTTTGCTTCCACCTCTTCAGCAGCTTTCTGATACTGTTCAGTGGTGACTTTGTAGAATTCCGAGCTCTGTGGACAAAGATTGATAGCAAAGGTTTCACTATCCAAGATGACAAAACATGTGGAAGATTTACAACTTCAAAAAATACATAAAACCTTGTTTCAGCCACTCAAGCAGTAGAAGGCTTTCTTGTAAAGGTGGCATAGATAATTATAAAACACATGGAAAGCTACTTGTTTAAATAACAGTAGAGTTGTTGGTACATACCAATTATAATTACAGAGTAAACTTTCACAGTTACGACTCCTTATCATTTGATCCTCTGGAGAAAATTTCTAACATTCTGGAAAGATTCTTTAGATCGCCATTATTTGGAATCTACCCTTGTAAGATCAAAGGATGCCTGAGATCAAAAACTGAAATTCACACATATTCGTATTTGCCTATTATTCCACTGGTGTTCCTACTAGGATATTAAAGATCATTTCTTTCTACACAATATTTTTGTCATCAAGATGGTATGTATGGCTCACACCTCTAATCCCAGCACTCTGGTAAGCCGAGTTGGGCGGATCACCTGAGGTCAGGAGTTCGAGACCAGCCTGACCAATATGGAGAAACCGGTGGCGCATGCCTGTAATTCCAGCTAATCAGGAGGTTGAGGCAGGAGAATCACTTGAACCCGGGAGGTGGAGGATGGGATGAGCAGAGATGGAGCCATTGCACTCCAGTCTGGGCAACAAGAGCAAAACTCCGTCTCAAAAAAAGAAAAAAAAAAAGTTTTCCTTATGGAGTTTAAGTTGTTCTATCATTTCCACATGACCACAAGAACAGCAACATTTATAACTAATCAGTAGGAACAAGGGGGCAGATTGAGATAATTTTAATAACAAAAAATGTTTCCACTATTAACATGAATGGACATATAAACAACATAAACCAAGATGCAGTGGCAAAGTAATGCCTTTCCTAGGGCAGCAAAATTTATCCATTCTGACTAGCTACACTGAAACTGGTCTTATTGCAGGAGGTGGCCTAAATGACCCCATGAGCCTTGAGACTCAATGAAATATCCTGCAAAATGCACTGCATTAAAAAACAACAACAAAAACACCACCACAATACAGTGGTCTATTGTGTACCTTTCATTCTCTAATCACTCAGGTTTCACATGCATGGCTTGGGATCATTTATTTTTTAATAAATCATTGTTGGTTGGTGAAAAAATGAAAGTGAAATCCTCTTCACACCAGCGACCCCTTTGCATTTAACAATCTAGGTTGTCCAATGACAGTCACATCCAGGATTCTTGGATGTAGATAAAATCAATAGGTATGTGATTAGACAGCAGACTCAGGGTGGCTAGAGCCATGGACAGGTCACCATTTGAGATGATGAATGGCTTTCTATCAACCTATAGTCCCCTACGATGCTAACATTTACTATAATCTTATTTGGGCTACGATTTATCTTTCTTGCACCTGATCAATAAAGATGAACAGAACAGTTGTAAGGATCGATTGTAATTTTTTATCATTTTCAAGCACAAAGGTGCATTTCTGACACGAAGACAATATTCTAAGTGTACTGCTGCTGCATTTTATAAAATTGCAATTTGAGTGATCAACTGCACTTGTCTACATGCCAAGAGGTTTTAATTCCTCTGTAGGTCTCAAGCTATCAAAAAACCATTTGTCATCTCAGATACTTAACATTATGTCACACCTTCCTATCTGTTTCACTTGTAAGATTTTCTTCCCTTTAAAATACACACCAGTCACAACACACGCTTTTGCAATGTTCGGCGTAATCTTTCCTTTGAACTCTTCTATCAAAGAATGTAGCAAAAAGGCAGTTACTAATTACTAACAATAGTTACTCTCACTAAAGATGAGAAACTCCCAAATTACTCTAACGAAATGTTGAGTGGGTATCATGTTACTGAACTATCTATTAAAATGCTGGCTAAGCAATAATATCTTAATTAATACTTTTGCTTACTTTAAGCACTGGAACTGTAATATCTAGACAGAGACAGGACTAAGTTGAAAGATCTGGTTTCTGGTTCTGTTCCGTGACCCTGAGGGAGTCTTTAATCTCCCCCAGCTTCCCTTCCAGTGTAACCCGTCGAGTATGGATGATAATATTAGCCCTGCTTATTTCTGCCAAAGCTGTTGAAGAAATCAAATAAGATAGGCAAGAGAGCTGTGAAATCTGTTAAATGTTTTCACAGAGTAACATCAACATCTGAATGAAATAATTTTGGAGGAAAATAATTAGGGTAATTCCATTCTAGGTATAGATTCTAAATGGTAAAAATTCTAAATGGTAAATATTACACATTTTATTAAGAATGTGCACAAAAGCCATAATACAAATTAGTCAGTTCCTCTCTGCTTTGCCATGAAAAATGCAGGTAAAATTATTACTAATTTTGTCAACTTTCCTATAGGATGTTAAAACACACACACACACACACACACACACACACACGCGTGCGTGCGCGCACAACCCAGTACCTGTGTTGCTTGAAAACTTAGCACATAATTCTCAAATTAAAGCTTTAGGCTTTATTTATGCTCCATACTTCCACCTCAGTGACCAGTTTCCCATATTGCATAAAATCCTTCCAACAAAGAAAAGTCCCCAAGAGGTAATATCATGTAACAACCAAGGGAATAAACACAAGTATTCTCAAGATCTATGTGTAGACAGTGTTTAATTTATTAAGTATTTGCTTATTCGTGAAAGAAAATTAAATTCTTATTATGCTAATAACATCTATCTTTGGGAATCAGACCCTCAAGAAACTTTCCACCTAACATGGGAGAAAAGAACAATTATTATCATGGAAAGTCACAAATGCCGAGTTAGAAGTCATAGATAAGTGTTACTGGAGTTCAGAAAGAGTAGAGATCTCCTTTGGCTTCAGAAGACACTTTTACAAATGAACAGAACCTATTCAAAAAAACAAAACAAAACAAAAAAACAAAAAAGCACACACAAAAAAACAACCAACCCAACAAAAAACACTCATTGTTTTCCAGTGAGACAATGGATAAATACTGGGTATTTGTACAGCGAAAATCTACAGAGTAAAGGAATGAATTAGACAAACATGCAGAGCAAAAAAGTGGTAGATCTGATCGGTAGGATGCACCTTATGCTAAGATTTGAAAAGCGAAAAATAATGAACAAGAAGAGTAAACACCAAGTTCCACTGATGATCTCTGAGTGGCAGCAGTCATGTGGTGTGGTGGAAGTGCACAAAAGGAGCTGGATGCCACCAAGTATGGGAACACGGGCTACGCTGGGTTGCTGTATTTTTAAAAATGAGGTGTGGGCATGCAGCTAGTTGTTACATTGCCTTAAAATATTTTATAGGCCGGGCATGGTGGCTCATGCCTGTAATCCCAGCACTTTGGGAGGCTGAGGCGGGCATATCACGAGGTCAGGAGTTCAAGACCAGCCTGGCCAACATGGTGAAACCCCGTCTCTACTAAAAATACAAAAAATTAGCCAGGAGTGGTGTCTCGTGCCTGTAATCCCAGCTACTCAGGAAGCTGAGGCAGGCGAATCACTTGAACCCAGGAGGTGGAGGTTGCAGTGAGCTGATATCACGCCATTGCATTCCAGCCTGGGTGACAGATCAAGACTCTGTCTCGAGAAAAAAAAAAAAAAATTAAATATTTTATAATACAGACAAAAATTGTATTACTCCTACTTCCCTCCAAAGGGGCTAACAATACAAGATTTCATTTGGCTAGAATATAAAAGTATATTGGGCAGGGTGGGTACGTCCTAAAGATGTTGGCTAAGTGGGGATTTTACATATTCTTGAATACTAAACCGTTGCAGGGTATACACAATACTAAGCAAATATACTGTCTTCATTTTTGTGAAAAAAATTTAAAGTTACAGAAAATAGGCAAAAGATTCCCATATATCCTTCACCTAGCTTCCCCTTATGTCCACATCTTAGATAATTATGATACAATTATCAAAAGTAATGATTTAACAATATTACAATAGTAGTAACTGAATTACAGACTTAATTCAGCTATTTCCAGTTTTCCCACTAATGTTCCTTTTCTGTTTCAGGACCTAATCTTGGATCCCATGTTGTATTAATTGCCACGGCTCCTTAGACCCTTCTCATCTGTGACAGTTTCTCAGTCTTCCTTGTCTGTTACGACCTTGACACTTCTGAAGAATACTGGTGAGATATTTTGTAGAATGGCTCGTGATTTGGGCTTATCTGGCGTTTTCTCATGGTTAGAGTTTATGCACTACTGGGAGGAATTCTACAGAAGCAATATGCCCTTCTCCTGCCTGATTTCAGGGGCTACTTTATGGCAACAGATATTTTTATTGATGTTGACCTTGATTACCTGATTAAAGTGGTGTCTGTGGGGATTCTCCACAACAAAGCTACCATTTTTCCTTCCTGTAATTGATATCTTGCAGGAGATACTTCGAGGCTATGCAAATGTTCTGTTTCTTCTCAAAGTTTTGTCCATCACCTTTTGGTATCCACTGGTGAGTCCTGTTTGCAGCAATGATTACTGTAGTGTTCTGATGGTGCAATAATTTCTTTCTTTTTTTTTTTTTTTTTGAGATGGAATCTCACTCTTTCGCCCAGGCTGGGGTCCAGTGGCACAGTCTTGGCTCACTGCAACCTCCACCTCCCAGGTTCAAGTGATTCTCCTGCCTCAGCCTCTCGAGTACCTGGGATCACAGGGGCACGTCCACCACACCCAGCTAATTTTTGTTGTGAGCCCTTGGTTCAAGGTCTATGGACCACCTGCTTCAGAGTCACTTACGGAGCTTATTAAACTGTAGAGTCTTGGGCCACATCCTGAATCTCTGGGGATGGGGCCAGGAAGCTGCATTTTTTACAAGCAGCTTGGGTGATTCTGAACACACACACTAAATTTGTAAACTACGGGGTTTCTAGAACAATGTGAGAATAACATAGTATTTAGCTTGCCATTCAAAGTGAAATAAATCAGTGTTTAGAAGAATGATGGCAAATAACCACTTTTCATAATTAAATATAGCTATAATC